CGCTCGGAAGGCGCCTGCCGCCGAGCTGCTACGCGAGGACAGGTCGGGGCGCCCGGCCCGGGTCCGCCCTGCTCCCCGAGCCCCGCAGGTCCCGCCGCCGTCTTTGTGTGACCGGCCCCGACCGAGGAGCAGGGCGGGTGCCCGGCGCTGGAGGGGTCGCTCCCCCGGGGCCGCCTCCCGAATCCCCGCGCCCGCCCAGTCCCTCAGCTCGAGTCCGGGTGAGCGGTGGGGTTACTCTGCCTGCGGAGAGACTCTGAGGAAGGCGGGCCCCCCACCCCACCCCCGAAGTTCCCTGGAGACGCCCGGTTAGTGAGTGCTGTGCGCCCACCCGTGGTCACCGGCTCCCACTCGCCCGCCGCCCCCCGCCCGCCCTAGCCGCCCTGGAGAACGAGTAGCACTTACCCTCCACATACCTGGTTGGCAGGGCGTCTCCAGGGACAAAAGGTGCCCTGGGATCAAAGCTGAGCCCCCACCCCCACCAGGATGCTGCCCTCCGGAAGGGGGGGCGCTGCCCCAAAGGGACTCTCTCCGAGCACCCCGGGAGAGGTTCCATTTCACCCTCCAGCCAAAGACGCGGCCCTCCCGGGTACTCGAGGGATCGAGGAGGAGAAGCACTTGGGATGTGAAAAACAGGCCTGCCCTCTCGATTTCTCGTGAGGAACCGGGACGGGAGAGCTTGCACGCAGTAGCCCCTGCGGCAAAGGAGGGAGGGCTTCCTGCATCGGAACGGGCTCTCCTCCGATCACCAAGCGTCGGAGAACAGATTCGCATATTCCACCCGCTCCCCACGGGCTGGGAAGCTGGCTCCAGTGCGAATTCCCCACATAGTATTTTCCTCTGGTGATTTCTTGATCCGCTCTGTCTGAAGCTGGCTTAAGGACGACAGGCAAATCGCCACGGACAAGTGCAGCGACTGAATCGCAGCCTGGGCTTTTCCAAGGGTGTGGGCAAGTCCTCCGACTGGAGTTTCTGCCCGTATTTCAAAATTTATTCACAGTACAGACTGGAAAAAGTAGCACGGCAGTTTACTTTTTTGTCCTCCAACCCTTCCAAAGCCTCAGGGAAAATTGAAACACTGGAAAAACACATTTAAATTGAGTGTCATCGCCCTCCGGATCCCAGAGGACTTGGGAAGTGCACACATATGTTAACAAAGATAACTGTTTGAAGAAGTTGGAGACAGGGGTAGAGAAAAGGGGCATAGGTGGAGGGCTATCAAGGGGCAGCAGCAGCCTCTATGCCATGATAAAGGTTTCACGGGGTCTGACTCATGGCAAACCCATGGAGGTCAACAGCAGAACTATGCCCTGTAGTTTGTAGAAAATCAGCGGTTGGCTTGCTGGCCTTTCATCCAGGGCGTGGAGTGAACCTCCAACCTTGTGTGTGTATCCGCCTAGAGAGCTAAAATTTGCCCCGCCCACGATCTCCAAACTTTAGGATGGGGCTGGAGAACTGTGGCTTGCCCCACCCCCCTCAACACCACCCTCCATCTCAGAGCAAATGAGACCCCTGTGTCATGATCAGGAATGATAAAGCGAGTCATGCCTTAAAATGATCCTGGAATGTCTTAAGAGGGTAAGAGAAATGGCTCTTCTTAAACCTGGGCCTCTACCTAACCCTACCAAGCTCCCTTGGCCTCTTGTGAAGGAAGGGTTTGGAACATTACAGAAGCCCTTTCTAGATCTAAGTCTATGACACCTTATTAAAATAGAATTGTGGAAAGTCTTCAATTGGAACAGAGAAAGATGGGGTAGTCTCACTTTTTCTAGTGGCTCTTCTCTGTGTGTCCAAGAATTCTCAGAGGGGAGTGGGGGGCAGACCTGTTAACAGCCCCAGTCAAGATTTACCACTCCCACTAGGAGTTACTTGTAGGAATTTAATGAATTTGCTTACCACAGAGATTGGGTGCTTCTATAAGTTGCAAATCTCAGCTATCAACAGTAGGCCAAAGCATATGCATAATGTTGCTCACTCTTTCCCAGAGAAAGGTAAATATTTTCAAAACAAAATTCTGTTGTCAGATGGCTCCTCTTAGGTTGTCATTTAACCTTGGGTCCATAGCACTTGTTTAAAGTGTACTTGACTATTTTTCATGGACAAATGATGACAAGCTCCCATGCAAAGACCCAATTCCCGCCTGCTGTGCATGCCGCAAGCCAGACAAGGTTTTCAGTCATGGAAGCGACATATTCACGGTGATCACTTGTCCGTCCTACCTTCAGTGCCAAGTCCTCCAGATTGACATTCACAGTCACAGAGAGGACCACAGAGCCGGACATGCCGCGGACTACCTCTAATGTTCTCCAAGGTGTGCTCTGCTGGTCTCCGAAGGCTGATTAAAAAAGGTCACATTGGCCGAATCAAAATCCTTTTTCCGCAGTGTAGCTTTTCTTAGCACCTACAAGATGCTAATATGCATATGTCAGTCGGTCTCCAAAAGAAGGATTCAGTTATTTGGGCTTTTCTAACATTTAATTAAAACCAGCATCCCAATCTTTTTTTAATTGGTTGGTGCTTCCAAGTACCTTATGGTAAATACGTTCTAAGGAGAACTGCAATCGTTTAGCCCTCTTTCACAAAGGATTGTCCTCACGCCCTGCGCTGCTCTGTAACTAGTACCACGCTAAGGATCATCTAGCAACTTCTTTTGAATACAATACCCATCATCATTGGTGACGAAGATCATAGCAAACCATGTTGAGCAGGTTTACACACTCACTTGACTCCTCTGGCCCTCGTATATAAGGAGCTAAGAGGGCAGGCTGCCTAATCACAGTCCCGGGTTAAGACCTCAGCCCTGGCCCTGACCAGCTGTGGAGCCTGAAGCAAGATCTTTAACTCATCTGAGCCATATTTATTTATTTATTTAAAGGATCGCTTTATTGGCCCGCTTACAGCTCTTATAAAAATCCATACATCTATGGATTGTGATGAGTTGTATGAGCCCCAATAAAATGATTTTTAAAAATCCATACAGCAATTGTATCAAGTATATTTGTACATATGTTGCCATCAATTATTTTCTTTTTTTTTTAAACCATTTTATTGGGGGCTCATACAACTCACAATCCATCCATCCATCCATTGTATGTCAAGCACATTTGTACATTTGTTGCCCTCATCATTCTGAAAACATTTGCTTTCTACTTAAGCCCTTGGTATCAGCTCATTTTCCCGCTCCCTGCTCCCTTATGAACCCTTGATAATTTATAAATTATTATTTTGTCATATGCCATCAATTATTTTCTAAACATTTACTTTCTACTGAGCCCTTAGTACCAGCTCCTTTTTCCCCCCGACCCCTTGATAAATTATAAATTATTATTTTCATATCTTATAACAACTGCTGTCTCCCTCCCCCATGGTTTCTATTGTTCATCCCCCTGCAGGTGGGGGGGGGGTATGTGTCCATCATAGAGATCGGCTCCCACTTCCTAAGCCTCCTTTTTATACATAAAATGGTGTATTAATTCCTCATGGCCTGTTGGCAGAATAAATAATTCATGAGGGGACTTCAAAAAATTCAAGGAAAAATTTCACTGCCTTTTCATTCCAATTTTCCATGAACTTTTTGAAGCCCCTCTGTGTATGTGCCTGCCATTGTAATTCCTAAATAAATGATCCCCAAACATAACCACATGTCTGCCCAAAGATTGATAACATTTGTTATTGGATTGATTTGTCAGCAAACTAACCTCAGAAACCAGGCTGCCCATGTACTGAGTCACTCAAAGGATTATTTTCTGAATAACAAAGAGGATTTGATACCACCTTAATGACATTACTTTTTATTTTCTATTTATTTATTTATTTTTAATGACATTACTTTTGTTTGTTTGTTTTAAGTAGAGAAAAACAGTAAAGTCACTTGGCCTGTTGCTTGTATTATTGTTCACACATCCTCAAGAATTGTGGGGGTTTTTTAAAGGTCCTAGGAAACAAAGGACTGGGGAAGGTGGCATTGCCCCTACAGATGATGCTGGTCAAAGGCAGGGTGTTCATGGCCAGCCAACTGCCCTCCAGTCCCTTGTCCGCCTCTCAGGGGAAAGCGAACGAACCAGCATCCCCAGTTCCGACAGAGCCTTCAGCTTATGGAAAGAAGGGTGGGGAATGCCCAGTGCTGGGCCTGACACAGCGCATTCCCTGACGTCGGGTGATCATGCGGACTTTTCAATTTTTGTGTAACAAGATGAAAACTTCATGAATGTTGTTTTTTCTGCTCCTGGATCCTAACAAAATGGAAAGGTGTTCAGTTACCATGAAAGTACACTACAGATTAAAAGAGAGAAAAAACAACAACCCCATCTCATCCACCCCAGGACTGCCAATCACTGGCTAGGTCAGCATCTCCTCCCCTTACTGCCCAACTTGCTTCAGAAACTTGTCCAAGACAAGTCTCCTAGACACAGTGCCTTCTTCCCCACAGCCCACTGCTGCCAGAACGATCTTCTGTTTTCCCCTGAAACAGCCCGCTTCTCTAGGTTCTCCTTCAACTCTCCCCAGATGGCTCGGCTTCCTGTTTTTTAATCCTTTTATTAGATGCTCATACAACTCATCACCATCCATCCATACATCCATTGTGTCAAGCACATTTGTACATTCATTGCCCTCATCATTCTCAAAACATT